TGTAAAATAGGAAGCTGGGTTGGTGGGGTTTTGGGTTGAGTTGGTAGCTTTGAGGGATTGAGGAAGGGAAAAAGTTGCAGAGAGAGGATGATATTCTGGGTCTGTAAAATAGGGAGGTGGGTTGGTGAGGTTTTGGGTTGAGATGGTAGCTTTGACGGATTGAGGAAGGGGAGCAAGTTGCAGAGAGAGGAGAGGATGAGGCGAGCAATCCAGAAAATAAAAAAGGAACGACACTTGGGAGGTTCGAACTCGGGATGATGAGGATATAACATGTAATTGTGTGAAACAAATAAGGGCAATATGGGCAATTTGAAATTTTCATTTAAACCTCCGCATGCTTCTCCTCGCAGCAGTTTTCAGAAGCAGCTCCCCACCTGCTTCTGTTTTTCAGCTTTGAATGACAGCAACTTATTAAATAAGCAGCTTATTTTTGTTTTACCAAACACCCAAATCTCCAAAACTTTTTTTTAAAGCTGCTTATTTTTTAAGTTAAGCAATACCAAACTAAGCCTAAGTATGTTGCAGCTCATGAATTAGCAGCATTTGCTAGTGAGCTTGTGTGAGCTCCTCCTACTACTAGTATAACTGTAACTTTGTTGATCCAATTAAAGCTTTATCTTTCATTTTCCAAATAAATAAAAAATTTGTTATGAGCCTCAATTTTAATCTGTGCATTATTTATTGCTTGGTTTTGAGTAAAATGTTCTTGGTACGTGCCCCATACATGCTCACAATTTTTCCCGTGTTTAAGCAAATTTAAAAAACAATACTTATGCATGAGGGGCTTGTAGCTTTAAAAAAACAATACTTATGTGTAAGTGGCTTGTAGCTCAAGTGATTAAGAGCATTTAACCTTGCATCTTAGGTCCCAAGTTTGTTTCCCCACTCCCCAAATATCGCATGTATAAAAAATAAAAATAAAAAACAATATTGATGAGAAAAAGAAAAACACTTTAAAAACTGCTTAACCTAAGCTAAACACAAAAATCAATAATGAGGCAAACTCAACAACAACAACAAAAATATATAGAAAAAAACAAGTTCAAATATTCAAGATTTTAGACAACAAAATCGAAGAAAAATTTATATACTATAACAAGATTTTGGTTGAAACCTTCATGAGCTACTAATTGATTCTCTTTGTGGGGGCTAATTGTTTTTTATTTTAAAAAGTAAATGTATTATACATGTATTTTTCATATATTATTGAAAAAATAATATATATTAAAATATTAAAATAAATTATATGATGGTCGAACTTTTCAGTTGTATCTTGCCAAAATTTTACCGACTAAAACACCTACATATTTATTCATACTTTTCCTGTTACGTATTTTACTAATTAATTGCCTAATTTTTCCTTAAATATCAGACAAATGTATTTATTTATTTATTAATTGCCTATGTGTACTAATTTTTAACAAATCAAACATAATGAGCAGGAAGTTAAAATGGGCCGTTTGGGCGTTCGCTCAACATTTTTATTCGATCTTCGACGCGTATTCGACGCTAACTCTACGCGTCTTTGACGCTAATTCTACGCGTCTTTGACGCGTATTCGACGGAATATATACAGTCGTCGTCACCGCGAAGCTTAGGACTCGATTTTGAAATCACATCCAACCCAATCCGCTCTCTGATCTTAACAAAAATTAGAAACTCTACAATTTACGCTCCGTGGCCGTCGACTTCGTTCTTGTCTTGTTTAGCGCTTCAATTCTCTTGCGTTCTCTGAATTCGTTTTGGGCGTTCTCTGGGTTTGATTCGGTTTTCGGCGGGCTTCCATCTTTGGCTTCAACGGCTGCCGGAAACCCTAGTTTTCCAACGGTCAGAGATTAAAACACACTATTCAATTTCCGTTCTTTTTGTGTATTCTTATATAATTTACTTTTGGATTTATTGAATTGAACCTAACGATTTCTTTGCAGGCTTTGATTTTGTGCACCTGTTAATCTACTTGCTGGGTTTTTCATATTCTCTCTGTTTTTTTTTTGTTTGGGATTTGCATACTGAGTGATCCATTTGCAGGAGTTCTTATATTTTGCTTATTGTTTTGTTGGATATTTGCAGGGTATTTGATCTTTAGTCTCTCTCTCTGTCCGCTTTTTTGTTATTGTTTTCATTTTTCACATATATATTGTCTTGTGGCATCTTAACATAACAATGAGGTCTTTATATACCTTGAGGTCACAGTCTAGGTGCCCTCTTGAAGAACGGCTTCTTCAGAAAAGGAATTCTCGGGAAATTTGGACAGGTTCATACCAAATAGGTCTGCAATGGATTTTGATTTTGCGCATTACATGCTTACTCAAGGTAGGAAAGGTAAGGAAAACCCATCTAGATATGGAAGAGACTATAGGACGCAGTTGGCAGAGGCTATGAACATGAATCGCACTAGAATCCTCGCTTTCAAGAACAAGCCTACTGCCCCTGTAGAGCTTTTCCCGAGCAACTTCTCTTCTTTGCGACAGGATAAACCGGCAAACCATAAGCCACACAGACACATTCCTCAAACTTCAGAGAGAACACTGGATGCTTCTGACCTTATTGATGATTACTATCTGAATTTGTTGGATTGGGGAAGCTCCAATGTTATCGCAATAGCTCTTGCAAACACAGTTTATTTGTGGGATGCTACTGATAGTTCTACTTCGGAACTGGCCACATTTGATGTTGAAAGGGGACCTGTTACCAGTGTCAGTTGGGCTATTGATGGACGCCACATTGCCATTGGACTGGACAATTCCGAAGTACAGCTATGGGATTCAACTGCTAATCAGTATCTGAGAACCTTGAGAGGTTGTCACAGATCACGGGTAGGCTCACTAGCGTGGAACAATCACATTCTTACAACTGGAGGAATGGATGGCCGCATTGTAAACAATGATGTAAGAATTAGATCGCACATTGTTGAGACATACAGAGGACATGAACGAGAGGTTTGTGGGCTTAAGTGGTCGGCCTCAGGCCAGCAATTAGCAAGTGGAGGAAATGATAACCTGCTCCATATATGGGACAACAGATCAGTGGCACCAACACAGTGGCTTCACAGGCTTGAAGACCATACAGCTGCTGTAAAAGCCCTTGCTTGGTGTCCTTTCCAGAGAAATTTGCTAGCTTCTGGTGGAGGTGGGAATGATCAGTGCATAAAGTTCTGGAACACTCACACAGGTGCATGCCTGAACTCGGTCGACACTGGCTCTCAGGTCTGTGCTTTGCTGTGGAATATGAATGAACGAGAACTGCTTAGCTCACATGGGTTTACTCGGAATCAGCTTACTCTTTGGAAATACCCATCAATGGTTAGAATTGCAGAACTCACGGGTCATACGTCTAGAGTCCTTCATATGGCTCAGAGCCCAAATGGTTGCACAGTAGCATCAGCAGGTGGTGAAACACTGAAATTATGGAATGTTTTTGGGGACCCTGAGGAGGTTAAACCAGCTCCACGACCTCCCAAAGAGCCTTTTGCCCAAGTGAGTCGTATCCGCTGAACAAGAACATGAGAACTTACATCAGATGGAGATTTATGAACCAAAAACTACAATAAAGTATGGGATGCAGAACTGGAACTTTGATCAGTAGTATTCTTTTTAGCGCAGGTTGAAATGAAATGAAAAGCTTCAGCAAAAGTCTCAAACAGTTGCAGTGCTTACACGAACAGCGATCTTAGGCCATATTCTTTCTCAATTCCCCTGTAGGAAGAGTGATGGGAAATAAGAAAAATTTGTACTATTTAGTTAGTAATGGATTTCAAGAAATCCTTGAAATCATAGACATCAATAAAGCTAGAACTGATCTCTTTTCCCAGCAAAAAAGAATTCCAATTTTGGAATCACACCCCTGCCCTGATATATGCTTGTGGTTGTCTCGTTGATCACTCCGGTTAGGCTGACACCAGTATGCCACAGAGGCCACCGAAACCGAAGGGGGAACTTTGTTTTTGAAGATTCAAGTAATGTGGAGCTGTTGGTGCTGCAGGCAGCTTAATTAGTACTAGCATTTGCCTAGATTCTATTGTGTCTCATTTTGTTAACCTGTAGCATGCTGTATTAAACTAGCTTCCTAGCAGCAATGACATTGTTAATGTTCTTCCTTAACACTTCCTCTTTTTTTTTTTTGGTAGTGTGATCCCTGAATTTTCAATCTCTCCATAAAGGTTTATCTTCCAAGTGTGTTCCCTGAATACAATTATCATGTTTGTAATTTCGGTGAACCAATTAAAGCTTTATCTTTTTGTTTGCCAAATAAAAAAGTTATTATGAGATTCAGTTTTAATCTGTGCATGGTCCCATTGCTTGGTTTTGATTTGACCAAGATTCAGTAATTTTGGTGAAAACCATCAATACTCTGCTTGTGCAACATAAATTTATCCTTAATTTTCACACTCCAATTGAATTAAGGAACAGAAGCAACAAAAATATCCTTTTTCTAAAATTCTTATGAATGAATTTGGCTCTCTTAAATCATAATAAATCAATTCGCAACCGGATATCATACATGGATTTTATTAAGACAAGGAATGATCATATAATCCTCAACTCTATCCCTTGATTTATTTCCTGCGCTCAAGATCTCACCTCCATCTTCGTCGATACTGGTCCAACAAAACAAAGGGAAGATTACTTAGCATGATCAAGATGCAAATATTAATGTAAGCACGAGATATATAAATTGAATAATGCTACATATAATGAAAGCATGATCAATCATGTAATGTTACATATACTTAATGATGATATAGTTGATTAAACACATTTCTCACATAAATACAACGGTCGGTAGAATGTGGTCAGTAAATATAATACACACTTAAACTTTCCACTTAACATGAGCAAGTGCAATAATCAAAAGAGACCCTCACTTCACAATGGATGCTCTTTGAGATGGGAATAATCAATTTCAATCCCACACATCCATGGAGAAAAGAGAAAAGAGAGAATTTAAGCCTTGTGTCAAAAAAATACGTTAAGTTCTTCATACGCGCATATAATATTCCTTTATAAAAAAAAAAGTCAAACGAGGTCTTTTAAAAGAAAAACGAAAAGCATTTATTTACAAAAAAACAAAAGTTACAACCATCATCAGGTTGAAAACTTGCAGACCACGAAATCCCACTTCTCCAATATACCTTTCTCCTTAGGAAATTAGAAACCCCACAACTCTATTCTCAGTTTCCATTTTTTGTTGAATCTTTGCCAAAGCTGCAAGCCAAGTATGCGAGTTATGAAGCACCCTCAGGCTTTCTACTTCAGAATCCCAGAACCAGAAGAATGTGATCTCACGGATGAAGATGAATTATATGCCTATGGTTATAAACATGTTGCCTTGTCTTGTTCTGAAATTAAGCCTTGTAGTCGTTGTGAGGCCTCTTCTTCCACGGAAGGTAGCTCTTCTCTTCATTCAGTTTGTGGTTTCTGTTCTACCCCATCTCTGGATGATGATGATGAGGGAGAAAGCCATGAAATTGATGAGATAAACAGCCCACAGAGCTGTCAAATATAGTGTAATTGAGAGAGTAAAGAGTGAGGAATAAGAGATGTTTTGCAGAGAATTCTCCCTTATATCTTTGTATTGCTATCATGGAGATATTTATACACAATGTAGAAAGGGTAACTATTAGTTACAAACAAGTATACAAAACATGGAGCATTTCCAGGATTTGTGTCTCCCTAAAACATGGAAAATGTAAACATGCCTAACTAAGACTTGCCTAACTATGACTTGCCTAATTATGACTTGCCTAACTTACTTGCCTAACTTACTTGCCTAACTCTTATGACTTGACTAACAAGAGCGACTTTGGACCATTAATTTTGTTTGTACTATAATCAACCGGGCACATTCAGTACTGTGAGACCAGCGCTCAAATAGACCTATAACCTACCGAAGGTAAGACACTTATGGTAATTCCTAAACATTGATGACACCATCATGATCTCAGCTATCGAAGAAATCTTCCTTCGATATGGTAATTGTCTGCCAAAGGCGATTGCCGAAGCTCTCAATTACTGAACCTAAGCTTTGGACACATGTCGCCACCACAGTGATTTACACAAAGTCCCACATCGAAACTTTGTGCAAACCCCCACTTTCATTTATATATAAAAAAGGAATAGTGCCCAGGTAAAAAAAAACTACTTTTCACCTTTACTGTTACTCTGTCAAAATTATTGTGTACCTCACACTTGCTGACTTAAGCATCGGAAAGCCTTTGGTAGGTACCACACCAGTACCTGAAGCTTGATGATTGTTTCTTCTGTCCTTCTACATGGTAACCTTGTGATCGAAGATTTCCCCTTCTGAAGGTCCACAACCCCCTAGTCCTGATGCAGACTCCGCACTTCTTCTATCTAAGTTGATATCCAATTTTAGACATCAACAGTTTGGTGTCATCTATGGAAATCGAATTTTGAATCTCACATCTCTACTAGCCCCGTTATCTCATTTGCCAATCAGACCTCATCACCTCTTCGGTCCATCACACTTCGTCATGTCGAGCGAAACTAACCTTGGCACTCAACATCACACCCCCATGTGGAATCCTCCAAAAGGAAACCTTCAATCGATGCGCATCTTTAGGCCAAAGTGGAGCGAATTCATGTAGACGTTGCAAAAATGGCAGAGAACTATGACCACCTCTGCACCAAAAATGTCGAGTTGGAGCATGACTCCTGAATCTTGAAGCGTAACTGGGAGAACACTTGCCACCAGTTAGCCTAGCACGATCTCACCCAAGGTGTCTAGCATAGCTTGCCGAACCAGCCAGCCATTTCACTTCACAGTGTTTCAAAGTAGCCTCGGCATGACAAAGGCAAAGGTCACCTTCATCTTGAAGCGGCCAAGTCATGAATTCTCCACATTTCCCCACTCAGGGACCAGTCTCATGCCCCAACCAAGGTATACAAGTATTGTAGGGATGACATCTCTGAGCTTTGGCCAAAACCCATTCAAATCCCGTAAATCTCAATGACCCACGTGTTGCTTACCTTGGCCCTTTGCCGAAGCCCACACATCTCCCTACTCAAGAGGAGGTTGGTGATTCTGAAGATTGGGAACCTTATAACCCTAAGTACTGGGAGCCTTACCATTCAAAAGCTTTCAAGGAATGGGAAACTTATCCATTACCACCCCCCTCGACACCACCAATCTTCGGCACCCAACACATTTCCTCATAACAATCCCGCCATGCAATATTTGAGAAGGTTCATCTCCTTGAGGACGAGAAATAGTGCAGCCATCAGCCCCTTTCGACGAAGGCACGCCCTAGCCTCTTTACCAAGCAAATCCTTACCTATCGGTAGGAAAATGACATTCAACCATTTTGCATCACCTTCTATACTGGTAAAAAAGATCACTTGACCCACATCCACTCATTCTGGTTTGCCCTAGGGTGCAAGGGTCTTAGTGATGAAAACATGTGCCTTATTTTTCCCTCCACTCTTACTAGAGCTAACTTGAACTTGTTCTATCGGCTGGACCCTTGAACCATCAACTCATTCGACCGTTTAAAGCACATTTTTTTAGATAATTTCATAATTCAAACCGATCGTTTATATTCAGCAGACAATCTATACATGATTTGGCAGGGTGAAGACAAATCCCATTCGGGACTTTACCCACTTCAGCCATGAGTATTCCTTCTACCAAGAGATAAATGACCGTGCAGCCTTCGATGCGTTCAAAAGTGTCATTCATGAATCCAACTTCCTGTACTTAATTTATAGCAACCCATGGAACACCTATGTTGAGTTAAGAAAATAACCCCTCATCCATGCCAAGGTCGAATACTTAAACTCTATGCTACCGTTTGAGGTCTTCTCTATGCTGAACACCACATATGAATGGTTGCTTGTTAATGAAGAACCCATCATTCCTAAACCTCATGCCCAAAGGCCTACCAACAAGCCTATGTCGAACACTAACGTCTTCTACCAACTCCATCAATTCAATGGCCACGATACCAAACATTGGTATCTTCTTCAAGCTATCTAAACCCTCACCAACGCTAGATCAACATGATCTCTATCATCAGCGGTGGCCTTACTTTGGTTGGCACATCCACTAACTCCCTGAAGCACTACGTTTGGTCCTCTTATGCACATTAGGTTTTCAGCACTGAACATAGACATATGCCGAAGATGCCCAAGGTTAGTTGGGATGCCTTCAACGAAGAGAGGGAGCGTGATGTTATTTTTCCCCATGATGACCCGCTAATAGGGATGGCACCTAAATTATATAATGGACGAACTTTTCAGTTGTATCTTGCCAAAATTTAGCAGAGTAAAACACATACGTATTTGATTTGTATTTTTCCCATTCTGTATTTTACTAAATAATTTCCTAATTTTTCCTTAAATATCACACAAATGTATTTATTTATTTATTAATTAAGTGGCCCTCTTAAATCATAATTAATCATTATTTTTAACAAATCAATCAGATATTCTATTAAGACGAATAAATATCATAACATAATGAGAGCAGTTTGGGCGTTCGCGCAACATTTTTATCCGCCTTCGACGCTAACTCGACGCGTATTCGACGCTAATTCTACGCTAATTTTACGCTAATTCGACGCGTATTCGACGAAATATATACGGTCGTCGTCACCGCGAAACTTAGGACTCGATTTTGAAATCACATCCAACCCAAGCCGCTCTCTGATCTTAACAAAAATTAGAAACTCTACAATTTACGCTCAGTGGCCGTCGACTTCGTTCTTGTCTTGATTAGCGCTTCAATTCTCTTGCGTTCTCTGAATTCGTTTGGTCGTTCTCTGAATTCGTTTTGGGCGTTCTCTGGGTTTGATTCGTTTTTCGGCGGGCTTCCATCTTTGGCTTCAACGGCTGCCGGAAACCCTAGTTTTCCAACGGTCAGAGATTAAAACCCACTATTCAATTTCCGTTCTTTTTGTGTATTCTTATATAATTTACTTTTGGGTTTATTGAATTGAACCTAACGATTTGTTTGCAGGCTTTGATTTTGTGCACCCGTTAATCTACTTGCTGGGTTTTTCATATTCTCTCTGTTTCTTTTTTGTATGGGTTTTGCATACTGAGTGATCCATTTGCAGGAGTTCTTATTTTTTGCTTATTGTTTTGTTGGATATTTGCA